TTTTGATTCTACAACAGCAAACCATAACTCCGTGATATATGCAAGAAAGTGCTTCTGCTTTGCAGTCTGGTGATCATGTTCCAGAATATAAATCTCTCAACTGTGGTAAAGCGTGCTCCTTTCTTATATGACAAAAACGTACATAGAATTATTGAGAAGAATTTTCAGTTAAAGTTCCAGTCTTACAGATCAAAACCTGGGCGATATTCAGAAGAATTTTCAAAATTTGCTTGAAATCAAACACCTTTCCTGTTTCCTAATTATTGAGAAGTTAAATACCCGAAAAAAGAAAATAAGGAAAAAAGAAAATCGCCTTTCAAATTAGTAGTGTGGTCTCTGAGTATGAGAAGACAGAGAGGAAATTAAGAGATGATTTGCTACAATGAAAGAGACATATACATGATTAATTAAAAACAAGTTAAATAGTGATTAGTAACAATTTGAAAGCTAGCTACACGATCCACCGAAGCATGATTTACACATATATATATATATATATATATATATGACTTACATGTAAATTAGAACATGACAAACTTAATAGCAGGCTTCAAAGCTTGAAGAACTCGCTCACTGTGGAGAGACAGAAACGACAGCCTTATTAGCAGGCATGGACTTGGATCGTTTCATCCAAGCTGGGGTGGATGATGAACCTGTCCCTGAGCGATGAAAACGGCACCGGAAGGACCCTTCATGTGTCGTTGGAGAACACAGGCACTGCCCTTTGGCAAACGACGCTGCTCCACCGCCGTTGCCACTATCATTTTCCAATGATGTCGAAACGGTAAGCTTGCCCTGACCCTGAGTTTGGGAAGCCATGAATGCCTATTTTGGGTGAAAAGGTTCAAGGTGGTCGAAAAACAGAGGACTAGAAGCTTCGGTTATATAGAAACCACACCAAGGCTAGAGTAGATAACTGAGAAAGAGTTATGCTTTTAAAATGCATCCTCTGGTATTAAAAAAATATGATAAGATTATATTAAAAATTATAATTATATAATAATAAATAAATAAATATAAAATTATAATTATTGATTTATTATAATTTGTGCGATGATATTTTTTTTTTTAATCTAAGAGGATGCATTTCAATAAAAGACGTGTGTACACATATTGTTATCCTGTCCTACATACAGTCCAAGAGTGCTGCCCTTCCATTGATCACTATTTTGTCCACTGTGTAACTGCATAGGATAGCTACGATATCGAAAACAAATATAGATACATTCAATTGCTCATGTGTACTAAAGTTTATCTCATAAAAATCAATAGTGACGTGTTCATTAATTAACTGATAATGAATTGATTTTTTTATCAATTTTTTTCCCTGCCTAATCTCTAACCAAAATTTCTTAAACAACACTTTAATTCGAGAATTTTCCTAAATCCTAACAGATTTTAATAAAAAAATGCTTACAAATATTCAGTATATATGAGAAGAAAAAAACTTACAACAGAAAGTGTCCTAGGTTCCCACCTATGGAGTGCAACCAGGGACCAAATGCGGGTAGCTTATCCCAGAATGGTCTGAGTTTGATGTGTTTTGTTTTGTAATCTTTCCTTGTTATCCAAAAAAAATAATGGTGTTGAAAAAATAATAATGATAACAGGAAAAAATCTTTTAAAATTTGTGATACATTTTTAAAGCACTACCATACAGAATAGATAAGTTCCGAATTTTTATAGATAGTTTATATATGTTAAACTAGGGCCAATTAACGTCAAGGCTCGGAGTAGGGCCCTTGTGATATCATGACAAAGCAATTGATGATAGTACATTATGTTTGATTTGTAATTGTAAGTCAATATTTCTAATTTTTGTGAACAGTCCAGATATTGTACAGTAGGGCCGATCAACGTCATGCTTCAGAGGAGGGCTATCATGGCCTCGTATATCTCGATACGTGATTTTTTTTAAAAAATTGTGTGTCCGACAAGCACACGTTTCGACACGCGATTAATATTTTGAGACACGTAATTAACTTTTTGACATGCTTTGACACATTTTCTAACACACAGTCAACTTTTTTCGACACGTGGTCAACGTTTTGACATGTTATTTTTTTTTAATCTTAATTTTATTTTATTAACTAAAAATAAAAAAACATTTATAAATCAATTTTTTTTTCTATTATATAAAAAATTAACAAGGTATACCACTAGGGTTAGCCTAGTGGTGTGGGGTGTGTGTATTAAGAGTATGTGTAGTATAGAGTGTTGTGTTCAATTTCTTGTAACCTCAAAAAAAAAAAAAATTAACAAGGTATGATTTTTTTTTTATATTTATGTTACGAAATTTAAATATTTGATTAGTTATATAACTTATATGGACTGTTATATGTATTAAATATAAATTATATTATATATATTAAAAATATTATTTAATATCAAAACGTGTCCCAACGTGTCCAAATATGTCATTTTTTAGAATTAACTTGTCGGCGTGTTGTGTCCCGTGTCAGTGTCCGTGCATCATAGATCATGGCTAGTCTAACAAAATGGGTTCGGCTTGACTTGTTTCATCCATCAAGTTGAATGAAGTGACCTGAGTTTTTCAATCCAGTTTTAAAAGCAAAACGAGCTCATTTTTTGATCGGCTGAGAGAGGCGGATCGAGGCGGGTCAATATAAAACATGTTCAGACTGACGGGCCAATATTTCGACAAAATGGGATGAACCAAGTTTTTTAGCCTATTTTCAAAAACGAGGATAGGAGTCCTAGGGGTGTAAATAGGCCAGACTCGCCCAGCCCAGCCTACATTAAGCTTGGCTTGGCCCAGCCTTTCAGAAAAGTAGAATACGCTTAGGCTTTTAAGAAAGTTTTTTTAACAAATAGGCCGTAGGCTAATTTTGTCAAGCCTGGCCCAAAGCCTTGTAGGCTGGCCTATTTAATTTATTAAAAATAAAATAATATTTATTTTATGTGGCACGACAAAGTACCAATACCAACCCTAATTTTTAGATGAATGACATTCTCTTGTAGACTTTATTTTAGCATCCAATAATTGTATTTTTCTTATTTTCCCCATTTATTTGACTCTATTTCTCTATGATATACATTCTAAAGCTGGGGTATTATGTTGACTCTTTCTTATTTGTTATTTTTTTCTTATGAGAAATATTAGTGCATTCGTGAATGAAACTTTCTTTGCTCTATACAATTATTTTCTTTGCTTAGTATCTACAGTGGTAGGCCTACAAGGCCTGTAGGCCATGTCGGTCTTTTTTATGTTTAAAAATAAGCCGGGCTTGACCTACAAATAAAGCCTTTGATAGGCCAGATAGGCTGAATTTTGTTTTACGTAGTGGCCAAAGCCCAGCCCATTTACACCCCTAGATAGGACAGACTAATTCAATTTTTGGAGGGTTGATGGCGAGGTGAGCGAGCTCGCCCACCCACTTTACCACCTCTAATCATGACAAAGTAGTTGATGAGAGCAACAAAGCACCGACACACAATTTCTTTTTAAAATTGCACGTCGGACACGTGTCGAACATCGACACGTTCCGACATGCATATGAAATGCGATCAATATTTTGGGACACGCAGTCAATGCTGCGACACGTTACGACACACGATAAACTTTTTCTGACACGCATCGAACACTTTTTTTTTAGATCTAAATTTTATTTTATTAACTAAACATGAAAAAATAATTTTTAAATATTTTTTATTTTATAAAAATTGACATGAAAAATTAACAAGGTACGAAAAATTATATTTGCTTTATATTTATGTTATGTAATTTGAATATTTGGTTGGTTATATGATTTATTATATGTATTAAATATAAATTATATTATATATTAAAAATATTATTTAATATCAAAATATATTTTAAAATGTCAAAATATGACATTTTTTAAAATTAATATGTAATCCACGTATTATATCGCATATCAATGTCGATGCAAGAGTATCAATCAATAATTCTAATTTGGAGGATTTAGGAACCATCAAATGGGTATTGGTAGATCTTTTTATAGAGTGCACAGTTATGTACCGCTTATTGAGGGGAACCACACAGAAGTTCGTGGTTGATTTCCGGTGTCGCTATTGGAATCAATTAGTGGATCCATCACTAATAAACACAGGTGATTGTTTTAGCTATAATTCAGGTTTTAAAAAACCTCCGTTTCGAAATATTTATTGCTTTACACGAGGGGATGCAAGACTAGTCTGATATGGATGACCAGAGTGACATGTGGCACAACGAGGTGAATTGCGCATCTATTCCATAGAAGATTAGTCTTGCACCCCATGTGTATTTGACAGAATCGTGCCACATGCCATGTCTTATGATTATCATAAATAATAATTGGTTTTAATGTTTATAAAATGAATGGATATCTATATTTACTCTCAAAATATCATCATTTTAAGTTGAAAAATTAAAAAATCATAATGTAAAAGATTATTATAACCTTAAAATAAATTATAATTATAAAAATATCTTGATTTCTGTCTCAAAATGACTTCGTTTTGGGCTCAAATAAGTTATCTACGTTGAATGTAGCAAAACGAACCCATAATAATAATTATATAATAATTAAGATTGTAAATAACGTAATTACTATTTTTTTTTTTGATAACAGTAATTACTATTTTTAAACATTAATATTGAATTTATTTATTTAAATAATAATTAATACCGTAAATAATATTAAATATCTGGTGTAATTTCAGACTTCTTTAAAATTTTAAAGCATTAATGTGTTTCCTGTTTTCCATAGTTAATTTGAAAATTTATGATATAATCATTTTGAACTAGAGATTGTAAATTAAATTCACGGTTTAGTTTTGCATTTATCTTATATATAAAATAGTCCCATAATTTATAAAAAAAAAATTTTGTCTCACTTTAATCTCAAAAAGAATTGACTTGATATAAACTCTTAACTCTTATGCGTAATGCAGGTGATTGATAATTTTATAGGATATGTTTTTTATTCATATTAGCGTACCTACAACTACAAGTCCAACTAACAAACTACCATTCTTCTTCGATTTTGTTTTAGGCTTCCAGCTCTCTCATTTGTCATTGCTATCATATATATGACTGCCTTCTCTTGTGTTCCCTTTTCAATCTTAGAAAATCCTTCTCTGCTATATTCAAGAAATTTTCTCCTTTTTTCCCCCCCTCATTGATCAGCTAAGTTATGGCGAGGACAGGAAACAAGAGTTTACAGGCCAAACTGGTGGGTATGTCTTCCCTTTTGTTTTCTTTGATAAAATAAGGATAAGTTCTCTTCAATAAGTAGAAATAGCTCCTGTTTGACATAATAGGCGTTAAAAACAGAACTAACTCATTACTAGTACTATGACAGGAGAAGCAAAGAACTTGTATCAGTCATTTAAATTCAACCAAATTTCTTATGTAAAATCTCTATTGGATTCTAAGATCTCATATTTGATTTTGTGACATAAATAGTTGTTTAATGCTTGTTTGATCATTGAAATGTGCTCTGCATGCTCCTTTCTAGCTATTTAGTTTCATATGAAGAAAAGGGCATGCATAATTTGCAGAATAAAATAGTCTCAACTTGTTAACATCTTCCATGATTTCCCAGGTACTTCTTGGGGATATGGGAGCAGGGAAGACAAGTTTGGTTCTTAGATTTGTTAAAGGCCAATTTTCCGAATACCAGGTTACTATTATTGCTTTTTTCTTACTTTATTATTTTAATTTTCTTTAAAAAACTCCTCACATCATCGTAGATTCGGAGTGGATTACCATTGATATATATGTCTGTAGGAATCAACAATTGGAGCAGCATTCTTCACTCAGGTTTTGTCCTTAAATGAAGCCACTGTGAAATTTGATATATGGGACACAGCAGGGCAGGAACGATACCACAGTTTGGCTCCTATGTACTATCGTGGTGCTGCTGCGGCTATAGTTGTGTATGACATTACAAGCATGGTAACTAGATATCAAGTTTCTAAGTGATGTTTATTGTTATCATTTCTGAAGTATATTTTCATTCTGCTTATAAGTGATTAGTTGTTTGATATATGAACTAGAAGCAAGGGATTTTCACTTACGCCCTTTCTTGATGTAGTGAGTACTTTATTTTGATAGTAAGCTTAACCTTCAATCTGTCCTACGTAAAATTAGAAGTTAATAATGTATTGGGAAAAACCAAATTTGGAAAAGCAACTATACATGTTTTATACAAAAGAAGAAGAAGAAGAATAAAGAATAAAGAAGGTCCATACATGGGGAGTGTATGAAATATGAATACAAATTAAACAGGATGAAGTCTCATTCTCTCCACAAGCTTAAGCTTTTGCAGTGAATGGTGATTCATCAATTTGGCGGATGAAATTTTCTAAAATATGCTTATTAGAAGTATATCACTAATTAATGATTATTCTAATGTATTTATCCTTTAAAAGATTCAGTATTATGTTTTGTTTAGATATTTATTGCAGAATGTGTAACTACATTTGCAGTGACAACATATCTGACTAAATAAGTGATGCATTTTCTGACTCAGGATTCTTTTGTGCGAGCAAAGAAGTGGGTTCGAGAAGTGCAAAGACAAGGTAAACTGCCAAAAAATGAACAAACTTGAGAAGCAATTGAGCTTAATATAAATTATCTGATACTAAACTTGCAAACGTTTGGCATGTATCATAAGCATCCAATTCATTTGTAAGAGTGAGATTTCTAATTTGATACTAATTTCGCGGTATACTCATGTCAGCAAATCCGAGTTTGACAATGTTTTTGGTGGCTAACAAGGCTGATTTGGAAAACGAGAGAAAAGTCAGAAACGAGGTATTTCTAGTAAATTGTTCTCTTAACTTTATGATTTCCATATTATATAATTTTCAGATATTCATTTGACTCTTAATGTCTATACTCAGGAACCTAAACTAGTTTACCTCTCCCCTATAGAGAGAGGAAGATTTTGTTTTTGGTAATCATCTTTCATATGATCGTATTTGTATTAATGTTTGCAGGAGGGAGAGGAATATGCCAAAGAAAATGGCCTGTCTTTTCTCGAAACTTCAGCAAAAACAGCACAGAATGTCAATGAACTCTTCTATGAAATAGGTAAAATAATTTATCATTCACCCTCTGTAGTATTTTGTCCAAGAGACAGTGTCCCCTCTGAAGTTGTTATACAACACATGCATTGCCTTTTGGATGGGTCAAATTTTGTTGAATCGTATGTTCTGGCCATCTATTCTGTTAAAGGATAACAACATCATTAAGAAGCAATTTCTCACTTATAGAAACAAACATTTTGCAGCTAAGAGATTGGCAAAAGCCAACCCTTCACGTCAAACTGGAATCAAGCTGCATAGCAGACCTCAAGAAACTAGGAGGAGACTGTTTTGTTGTGCTTAATGGCATGTTTTTAGTCTCATCATTTTGGAAGTATTGTTATTTATAATATTGGCATGTCTTTTGTACTCAAATAAACCCGGAAACATAATTCACTACCCACTGCTCTATGGGAAATCGTATCCACATCATCACTCTATCCATCATGAGTTAAACTTGTTAACCAGTGGGAGCGAGATACATCCAGAATCCAGGTCCATTGTTGATCTCTACCTACTTTCTCAGACAAGAAGAACAAACATTTGTTCAGTGTACATTTAAGATCTCACACCCAAAGTTAATTTTTACATTTTTTCCTTTTTAACGCTTACAACTGGTTTCTGTAAAGACATTATCTAAGTACAAAAGTGTGGCTCTGTTGGTAACGCTTGGTGTTGGCGAATTTTACATTGTACGAGTTTTATAAGAGTTATGTTGTAGTAAAAATAATTATATAATGTTATAGAGATTTATTTTGCGTGCTTAATTATTGTACGAGTTTTATAAGAGTTATGTTGTAGTAAAAATAATTATATAATGTTATAGAGATTCATTTTGCGTGCTTAATTTTTTTTGTTGTTGTTGATTTAAAAAGTGCAGGCCCCACAAAATGTTGTATGTGTAAGAAATTTTTTCTTATCAGGACAAACTAAAATCCCTTCATTTATGCGACAAACCGTCGGAAGAACTCAGTAAATATAGATGCTATTGTCAGAGTCATGAAATACCAATTTTAGCCCTTTCAAAAATGAACTGTACATTAAGATTAAGATGTGAACTGAAAGACTTTAAAAATCAAATTTTATCAGAGTTTTAACACTTTAAAGAGGGGAGAATGCAATTATATTAAGGCTATACAAACTGCTAGTGATAGGATTTGATGTTTTCATATTCGTTTACGTGCCATAAACAAAGTGAATTGTCTAAAAATAGTTGGATGAGGGCAAAAGCTGACAAATTTTAGGTCAAGGTAAAAGGAAAATAGTAAAATACACATGGGAGCTATCTGTGTACTGTTTCCCAATATAATGACATCGTTGGCATGTCTAGTAATTCCTACATTCAATCTTGCGAAATTTCCTACTTTGCCTACGCAGCACAATAAAACTTTGATAGCTTGACTTTAGTTTTAAAAGGTGTTTTAATATGGGTAATCTCATTTCACCTTTTAAACTAGTATCTTGTTATTTTATTTTTAAGAGAAAAAAACTCTTGTTAAATGAAAACGTTACTTTATTCATCTAGATCTTGGATTGTGTTTTGGTTATAGCAAACTTGTCCCGTTAGTTACTTAATTCGAGTAATTAAATAGGACAACCTCAATCCGTTCTTTTTCAAAACTGGACATTTGCAATTATATTACTACAGCAAAAAGCAGAAACATTTTCCCCATTTATTATTATTTTTGCTTTGCATTTTAAGGGTAAAGTGTTATTTTATGAAGTTATATTTTCTTTCCTCTCATTTTTTTTAGTATGACAAAAAAAAAATTTAATTTTATTTCCATTTTTTTTTCTCAAATTTGAAGAAAAAATTTACTCGTTCAAGTCTATTTTATCTCAACTTCCTTTCTTTTCTTTTTCTTTCATCTCATTTTTTCTCTCAACCAAACTAAGGCAGTGTTTCTTCTTCACTTCAGATTATTTTACTGTGAACATCCATTGCTCATTCGCTCCCAGTTAAATCGTATATCTTTCTTTATCTTAACCATACAAAACTACTGATCAGAACATAGCACAAGGCGAAAAGTGAAGCTTCTTTCCTAATGGGGTTCCAACAGAGCAACTGCGGTCGTCCTTATCGAAGTGGACTAAAAGTTAAAGACTGTGCTTACAGATTGCAGTAGGCGACAGTTTTTTTTTTTCTGAGCTCACCCTTCATTGCATTGCATTGGAATCATAACTCGAGGCAGTCCTTAATAACCGAGTTAGAAACATTTTCATTTGATTATTAGGTAAAATAAAACAAGAAGAAAATTATATATTTTTTCTACTAGAAAACAGAGCTGGCAAAACGAGTCAACCCGGTCCGACACGTCCCAACCCGAAAAAAACGAGCTAGATTAGGGTTGGTTCGAAAAAAAACGAGCCAGAAAACTCGACTCGACCCGAGTCGGGTTAGCGTTGGCTCAAAAATATGGTTCGTGGGTTAGCTTGAAAAAATAACTTGCAAGTTGGTTCGCGGTTGGCTTGAAAATTGCTCACGAGTTAACTCGTTTTCAGTCTATTTAAATGACCATGTAGTATTAATGCATCAGTTTACAAAATGAGAAATAAAAGCAAAATATTTTAGTTTCAAATTTTCTTACAAATTTGCATCAACATCAAGAAACAATCAGAACCACTTACTAATAAGTGTGTAAGATATTTGAACTAAACAGAACCAGCATAGCCTAACAATATAAAAATGACAGGATATGAGAAGATTAGAGACTTAGGTTTAGAGAAGAAAGAAAAATAATAACATGTGTGAGTTTTGTCAATTTTTATATATTATATTGAGATAAAATATTTTTACTACCAATTTTTTTTACTACCAACTAGTCTAACCGAGTTGGCTCGTTTTTTCACGAGCCAACTCGTCCTCGGGACGAGTTCATTTTTATTAACCCAACCTTTTGGTGAGTTACAAGCCAATCCGATTTGCCAACTAGGAAATGCAACTAGTTTACTAGAAAAAACTAGCGGTGTGCCAAATGCGAATGTAAACAAAGACTGTCCGTCCATATACCTAATGTAACTGGCAAGATAAATAAAAATAAAAATATAAATGAATTGCCATGTACCACGCTTGCAAAAAGAGAGTACTGATAGCTTTCTCTCAGATGCTGAGCTCATACTACTTTTGTTCTTATCACTTACCGGTCATCATTGGCACTAATAATATAGGATTTATGTTTATCTTATTTTTACATACGATAAATAATTTTTTTACACACTTAAAAAATAATTGGATCTCATCATTTTTTTTTCTCTCCTCTTGACCGTGGGTCTTAATTATAATTTTATTTCTACGTCATAAAATAACTATTTTCAATGTAAGAAAAGTATTTCTCGTAATATATTCACAAAACTACCCTCGTACAAAATAAACCAAAAACAAAAGCTTTCACGCTAGTAGTCTAACTTAGCTATTGAAGAATTACAATTACCATGAAGGAGAAGTGCAAGGGGAACCAGAGTATGAAGAAGAGATACCACTGTTGCAATGGGAATCACTGCCTCCCAAGGACCTTGCATCTCTAAGAGAAACAGAACAAGCCTCTGCAGGGAGCTTCTTCATTGGAGTCAGAGGAGGTGTACATGGAGGTGAGTGAGTACCACAAGGGGATGCCTGAGCCACGTCATCCTCCTCGGAAGAACCACTTATAAAACGCGAAGGTGAAGTATCTGGTGTCTCAAATGGAGTATCTGATCCACTGGCTTGGCTCTCATCGTTTTCATAAATGGGGTTGGAAATGTACACAAGGTGTTCCCCTACGCTGTAAGGTTTATCAGGACAAAGACTTGTTGTACTGGTACTACCCGGAAGTGAGTCTTCATGAGTTGGCTTTGGTTGGGAAGAAGCTGAGAGAACTCGAACCTTACACAGGCTTGCATTTGATTCTTGGGTTTGGATTTGAACAACCCGATGAAGCTCAGTATTCTGCTTCTTTGGCTCAGCTACGTCTTCTTTGCAAGAAACTGCGGGTAAAAGGATGCTTCTGGGAGCTTGGAGTACTCCTTGTGTATAAATGCTACTGAACGGAGGAGGAGGAGAGTACAGTTGTTGGGGGTGTTGTGTGTGTGAAGGTGAAGAAGCATTGGGTCTAGTTGTGGTGGTTTGAGTGGTGGCAGTGGGAATTGCGTTGGAGTTACTGTTTCTGAGCTGGCGACGGCGGAGTAAGAGAGAACAGTAGAGCTCAGCTAGCAGCACAAGTATAAGGCCTAGGACCACCGCAAGGGTCACCACCATTACCAAGGTTGCACCCATAATCACTTTGGATGTGTCTTTCATCTCTTTGGCGTCTGGACTCTGGAGTCTGATCTATCCCTCCTTCTCTCTCTCTCTCTCTCTCTCTCTTACTTCATAGGATGTGGTGGTGAAAGAGGCATGGCAATATAGGGAAGGTTAGAAGAACACCTTCTTGGCGGGAAACAGTCCTTTGCCTTTGGCAGTGGGTTGAGATGCAGACAGATGAATCTTAAAAAGAGAAATGGTCCTAGGGAACACAAGGGCTTTTTGTTCTGAAATAGTTAGGACTTAACAGTTCTGACATTCAGGGTCAGAGTAGTCAATTCGTTAATTTACTGGGAACTGCTCCCATGGCAAAACTAAAGTTTACAACTTGCATTCTTCCTCCACATTCATTTCAACTCTCAAGATTAATTTCACTTTCAACCTTTTACTAAGTTACTCCTCAATATTCATGCTTTGAAGCCTGGGAGAAGAGGAACAATCTTGGTGCAAGTCAAAGCACATTACTGTTTTCATTTGTAAGAGGTGACATAATCAAGATAAAATAAAATAAAATCAACTACAATTAAATAATAAAATATATATAAATATAAAATAATGCACGTCTACATAACGTTGTTGGAAAAAGAGTAAGGGATGGGTAAGAGCACAGAACCAACAGCGACGATCTCAACTTTTATCCTCAACCCGTAGAAAGTAGTGGAACACCATCAATTTTTGTTACAAACACTTTACAATCATAAAAGGCAAAACTTAAATTATGGGATCAGTAAGATGATGGCAGAGTTACTATTTCAAACCAACACAGGTAGACCATCTATGATAACTTTGTACACCTCCGGAGCAGTCAAGGATTTGCAATAAAAGCACCACCGTGCAATGTTCTGCAATTTCAGGTACATATGAGATTGAAGCGTGATGACCATAATGAGTGCAACCATACTAATGAGGGAGTATTTATTCATTATACCTTCTATCCTTTATCTTCCTCTCAAGGCCGCAAACCTAGCTGCTAAATCATCATAATCAGGTAACTTAGGATGCACGTGCGATGCTTCGTTTGTTCCATCTGGCTGAAATGAAGCAGCACGAGTAAATACTTTCTTAACTTCCACTGCTTTGGTTTGTTCACGAGGAAGGGAAACTGATCGTGGTGGAAGAGTGGCCATCTCCGGCGTCTCATCAGATCTATCTCCGCTTCCATTCTGCAGCCATTCCCTGGTAGAGTTATCCGTTACATGTGCATGGCTTTTAGACTTTCTTCTCACTTTTTCGGGAACAAGGATGGATGGTTTTTTGCTATAATGGATCAGTAATTTATCTATTACCCTTTCCTCTTCAGCATTTTGATACCGCTCATCATCAAACAAAATTTGCAGGCCACGTCTTGATTCATCTTGTCTCCTGCTTCTGCTCCTGGATTTTCTCACAAGTCCATTATCTTCATCAGTGGCATCATAGTGTCTAGGTCGAGATCTTGAATGCTTCCGCCTCGTAGATTTTGGTTTTACCACAGGGACTTCTTTAGCATATTCACGAATAGAGAATTCTTTTTCACGACTCTGTTTACTCAGTCTCTCATGTCTACTGGCCTGCCAATCCTTCTCAGAATTATACAAACCTATTTGGATCCTCTCCAACGTAGAAGGAGCATCAGGCTCGTCACGTGCTGAATGATATGTTGAGATGCCGCCACTATCAGTATGTGAAGATACTACATTGGCTCCACGTGTACTGTTCTGCTGCTTATAATTAGGTTTAACATATGGAGGGGGAATGACATTACTGTAGGAGGGCTTCAATGTAGGTGTTTCATCCTTTTGAACTTTTCTCTCAGGTTTATAAGTATCAGGTAGGCTAACATGATTAACAGCAAATGGCTCGTTTACATTACTGTTGAAACACAATCCTGCATGACTAGGAGACTTCCTAGCAGTAGCAGTGTCCTGGATTTCTCTTAGAGGGGTGGTATTCCTCAAACTATCATGCAGCATGGAACCACTTTCAAATTGTTCCACTGTTTTCTCCTGAGATGAACGTTCAATTGGTTTTAGCATACCACCCTCCTTCCCATATTTTCTATCACTCTTTTTAGCAGCAACCTCTTGCCTTCCTGTTAATGGACTCTCATGGCCACCCATTTTCCGAATGACTTCACAACCATTTAGTGGCTTGAATACATTTCCAGGATGTGGGGGTTTAGACTGAAGATCATGACCATCTCGGTTTAAGACAACAGCTTCCTTGTCATTCTGAAATCTGTACCCATCATTGGCATGGTTAGGACTTATCTCCAACAAAACATCATTCTTCATTCCTTTTTGGGTAGAATCCTTGCCATGTGATGGTTTATCATAATCAGGCAACTGGTTAGACATATTAGCATTGTGGCCCTGTATGAGTATTACCACAAATAATGACAATTTCAGATACATTCTCAAAATTTTTAAGTAAGAATTGGTTAAGTATTCAATTTGACAAGGAAGCCAGTCGAAAATGAAAAGGGAATGCGGAAGACAGCACCTGTGCAAATGCAGAGGATCTTGACATCCTCAGTTTAAAAGCCTTAGAGTCCCAGTTTATTGAAAATTCTGATGCAATCTCCTGCATCAAGCAGACCTTCTTCTCCAATGTAGAGGATTTAGAATTCAAATTTGCAGCAAACTGATAATGAGCAATTTAGTCAGTCAGTGCAGGAAACCAGGAAAGGTCATTAATATGTCAAGCTCTAATAAAAATAAAAATATGAATAGTCACCTCTTGGTTGACATAACATTCCAGGGAACTCCCATATCTCTCCTGAAATATCTGCCTAAGGTCACGTAACTCTGGTAAATCAGAAAATCTTGCAGCAGCAAACATCAGAGACGATACAGCCACCCTACATTCCTCAGGGCAACCACTGTAAAAGAAATGGAAGCAGTTATGTCAATATAAACTTCTGAATTTAAGAAAAAATATGAAACCGCTACCCAACCATAGCAATTTGGGAATGTATCCAAGCAATCATATCAGTCAACCAAAAATTAAATAAAAGGAAACATGAAATTCAACATCAGACTGTTTTCAAACATACCTCCTCCCCCACCTACAACATAAACTGAATGTGACATTTTATTCTGACTAGTTCATCACACACCAAAATCATTATTAGAAGATTACATTATCGTTTCAGCCAATTTATATGATGGTGCCTAAACATAGAAAAACTGCACGCACAAAGGCCAAAGCAATGTTAGGCCACACACATGTAAATCTGTAGACGCACAACCATATTTATGGTCTAGCCAGTAGTGTTGGTGACCATTAACGCTGTTTTTCTTTCAGAAATGATGGCAGCGTCATAGAATCGGAAAATCTTTTCTCCTAAAAATGATGCAATTTCTGCAAATATGTTTATTGAGCAGACTGCGAGGAAAGAAAAGTTATTGATGATATCAGGAGAAACAAAACTGCCAACTAAAACATAATGCTCACCCGGCGCCCGAATTTCATACACTAATTTTTTTATATGAGCAATTATAATACTCCCAAAAAACTGGCAGATTGACTTTATCAACCATAATTCTGAATTCAAATGAAAATTTAGGGAAAAAGAAATGACACTAATATCTTAGCAGAAATTTAAAACAAACTAATACCTCATTTTCTGTATCACCGAGAGGTGCTTCAGCACAAGCTCACAGGATTTCTCAATAAAACCATAACAAGATGACAGTGTCAGCTCAACCATGAGTCCTTCAGCCTGTTTGATCGCCTCGCAAGGAAGATACAACTTAATTGAGATAATTGCAAGAAACAAACCAAGGAACTATCGACACAATTAAAAGTCTCATATAAACCACCATTCGATGAAAACTAGCATGCTACTTGCAATGCACAACCCTCACAAATTATCACATTGATCCAGAGATCTCCCCAGTGAAGAATCTAACACAACCGAATGCAGAAACTGCACTAAACAAAAATACAAAAGAAAAAAGAAAAAAAAGAATCAGTTGTTACCCTTCCGTAGGCATTGATATCTAGACCATTGAGCAGCAGATCAGCTATATCTTTCTTCAGAAACTTCTCTGTCGCCTTTCTCTTCCTCCTTATCACATCGATCCGAGTCTTGGTCAGTTTGATCAACGATTTGCTGAAAAGAAAAATAGAAGAAGAGAACGCGTATCACATTGAGCAGCAGCATAATCACATTTATCAAAAACCGGATCAGGTTACAACCATCAACAAGCAAAACAAAAAGCAAAGCACACAAGGAAACAACAGGGCGAACCATTTTGCAGCGAAGCCTCTGCCCAGTAACCCGTCCAACATGTTGGAAGACCTCTACACGAGCTCGACTCGGTGGTTTGACTCAGTGAGCTGCTTAACTCGGAAGCTCAGAATGCGAGATTCACCATGGACGAAGCCTTCGTAAGAGAGCAACAGCACAGAGCACGCAGTGTTGCAGCCGAAGAAGAAGAAGAAGAAGAAGAGGAGGAAGAGAGAGAAAATATAAATAAATAATAAACGAAAGTAATAAAAAACAATTTCTAAATTAAGAGAAGGATCATTCTGAAGGCGCTTCTGCTACGACCATAATAACCTTTGGCTTTTTCAATAAAGACAATCGTAAATACGAACGTTAGAAGGGTATTTTCGGTAGTTAATGGTGTTTTGTTCAGATGCGGATGAACATAGTGGTTCAGACATATTCTTTTGGGTCCTTCTAAATTATGATATTCATTTTAGTTCTTATCAAATAAATAAAAAGATTATTTATGTCTCTAAGAAATTTAAAATGGACTCATTTTAGTTCAGGATTAATGTGGGTTACCACAAATTCAACAAAATGAATTCATTTTAAATTTTTTAGAGATCATGAATAACTTTTATTTTTTTTTATTAGAAACTAAAACGAATATTATAAATTTTGATGAGGATAAAAAAAATATTTATTCTTAAAAAAACTCCGAACGTATGCTGAGCTGGATCGCATGACGGTAAAGGAGATGAAGTGCGCGCTATTGGTTGTGGACCAAAAGGGTGGGTGGGTTAAGAGCCGTTGTGTCAGTGCTCTTGGTGTTTAACGGTGTTAACCTGGACCGGGAAATTCCGCAAGAATGTGCTTTCCTTTTGTCTTTTTTTAATTCCCATATGATTTATAACAAATTTTATATAAACTTTTAGAATAACAGAAAAATATTTCTGCAGTTATTGCAGATAAGTTATTTATATTTATTTTTAAAATAATGTTATTTTGGTGTTAAAATATTAAAAAATTATAATTATAAAAATTATTATAATTCTAAAATAAATTAAAAATTACAAAAATATTTTGAATTTTGTCTCAAAATAACGTTGTTTTGGACTCAATGCAAATAACTTATCTGCATTAACGGCAAAAAAATGAACTCATAGATTAATAGAAAGATAAAATAAGTTTTTTTAATAGAAATAATATAATTTTTTACTCATATTTTCTTATTTTTAAAGATCTCATATTTGATGTCTAAAAAATAAGTTTACTTTCATTACATTAACATTTTACATCATCGTTCAAATATATTTTAACATTTTATTTAATGCTTTTGATTGAAATGACAGAATAAAAAATATTGCCTTACATCTCTTATATCTACTGAAGTGACAGAATAAAAAAGGAAAAAAGCAACTATAATTAAATAGTTATATATATATATATATATATATATATACAGAGTGTTTATTTGAATTCTTTATTAAAAAATTGTTATAGAAAAAATTATCTTAAAGTAAGCAGAAAAAGATATTTTTATTTTCCTTTAAATTGCTTAATAAGTTAATTTTACAGTTGATCTCATAATGATAGGCTAAGAAAAATAAAAATTACAATTGAAATAATAAATTACAAAATTAATGTCACTTTCAAACATTTTACACAATCAGTCGCATATCAATTTTAGCGCAATTCACCAGAGCTTGTTACGTTGCACTAAACGCACCCTTATATTACACAAAATCACAACCTTCAGTGCCACCACGTGGCAAGTTCAGATGAATTGTTTCCACATTGATGCGCAACTAATTGAGCATTAGTTTGTGTGCAACTCAATCAAATGGTTTTTTGACCCTTTTGTTCCTCATTAAATAATTAATAACTAATTTGCTTCTTTTCCAGAACTATCCACCATCCTGCCCCCATTTAGTCGATTAAATTGCACTTTTAATCGACTAAATGGACAAAACTCAGAAATCATGAAACGCGAATTTTAGTCGACTAAATACTTACCTTAATCGACTACGTTCGTTGCACTTTTAGTCGACTAAGCCCATTATTTAGTCGACTAAATATCGCGAAAAACCCTATATCCAGACCTCTCTCGGTCTCATTTTCATTATATTTGAAATCAAAACTCCTCTTTATCTTGTTTGTCAGCTGTGATCCTTCCAATCACCCTTCCATTTCATCCCACCACCTCTAAGGCATAGTAATTGTGAAATCATTGTCATTTCCCTTTATTTCTCAATTGTTTTCCCCAAATCCGAACCCAAAACCCTAAAATCTGATTCCTACCCCCAAAATTCGTGTGAAAGATGAGCTCAAGTCCAAACATGCATGTTACCATGATTTACTATGATGGAAAGCATTATGAAGGCCCCAACGGTGTTCAATTTGAAGAAAAAACGAAAATGTTAAAAATCAAACGGGGCACTACGTACAATGAGCTGAAGAGGAGGATTCACAAAAAATTGGGGTTGCACGGCAGCCATGGCGTTCAACAGATGATCGCCAGGGTAGAGTCTACAGTTGGTAAGGATGCTATATTCTACATTGGTAATGATATATGTGACGACGAAGATGTGGACTGTGTTATAGATACATTTGTGGACCGAAAATTTCAAAACTTTATTGAGATATATGTTGAAATAGACTCTGGTCAATCTTCATCTGCACCTGTGCATGGAAGAAGTCAAAGTCAAGAAGACAGAGTGGTCGGTTTATCTGCACCTGCACCTGTCTTAAGTCAGATAACACTGAGGGAAATAGACGAGGATGAGGATGAGCATGACGAGGATATGGACAGTGAAGACGATGGTGAACCCGAGAGTGTTATTCCGCTGGGTGACACCTCAGATACGGACTTAGAGGGGAATTTTGACGCTGATACTAGTTCAGGAAACTTGAGTTCCCAGGTTATGCCACCACTCTGTGTTGACCCTGTTAGCAGTGGTAAGATTGTAAATTAAAGTTTTAATTTTGCATATATATATATTTGTGTTTTATTTAGTACTGACGGATAAGTTTAAATTTGGACGTAGGTTCTGAGATTGAGCCATTTTGGAACGACAGCCCACACTATTCCTTCATTAATTGGGCTCACCCTAATGATGAGACGGAGATATTGTATGGCGACGATGACATCCACGGTGGCTGGCATTTAGGGGATCCATTATATTTGTACCAGGAGTTTCGAACTAAATCTGAAATACAACATGCAGTCAAATTATATTGTATGAAGTCTCATCGTACTGCTGTGGTGGCAAAAAGTGATGACCATAGATTTGTGATGAAGTGTCGACACCATAATGATGGTTGTCCCTGGTACGTGCGGGCTATGTTGCCCACAGACTCTTCTCTGCTCCTGCACGGCATCACCTCGTGTATATCCTGGAAGTATGGTCTCGCTGTCTGCGTCATATTCCACAGTCTGCGCAGAATCAAAGTCATACCCCAGTAACTCCAACCATACCGGAGCCGTCATGATGATCTCCACCCCGCAGACCCTAGACCTCAGCTCACCCTGTACGTAGCTGAGGTTATGGTAGAAGGCTCGTACATGCAGCTCAGAATATGAACACGACAGTTCAACCAAGGTCCTAAGAAGTGATTCCTCCAACCACCTCACAATGTTAAAACCTTCTTGTTCAAAAAAGGTTGTATCAAGTGATTTGGCCCCACATATGGGTCGGTTAACAAAGTCACGGACAAATGATTCATTAACCACGGGGTCATTCTCGAACAAGTATCCGAATGAGAGGTCGACAGGAGCGAGCTCTTCCTCTTGTGGCCTTGACGAAGACAGACGGTCTTGTCGTAGCTTCTGTCGTCTCTCATTTCCAGTGCTAGACGATCTTCTACGGCCAGCCATGGGAACAATTGTACCTACAATGCAAGTGGAAACAATATCAATGAACAATAACAATATCAAAAAATTTAAAATTCAATATAAAAAACAAAACCTAATCCTAAAATAAAACAGAAAACAAACCCTATACCTATACCGTACCATAAAAACAGCAAACGTAAACTCCAAACCCAATCAAAAATAGCACCCCAAACCCTAACCCTAGCTCATCACAAAAAACCATTCTTAGCCCCTAACATAAAAACATCAACCCTAACACTACAACCCAAACAAAACAGCAACATAAACCCTAACCCTAACCCTAACCTTACCCCTACCCTAACCCTAACCCTAACCCTAAGGTACCACATCAACCCTAACCCTCACCCTCACAACAAACTTAACACCCTACCCCTAACCTAAATCCACAAAACCGCAAACAGAAATCAAATGCATGGAGAAAAAAAAAAAAAAAAAAAACCTAAACCTAAAACCAAATGCAAGTCAGAAAACGTTACCTAAATGTCGATTTCGCAAGTGTGAACCAAGGATGCTTCAATCGCACCTTCAAGGGTTGAGATTCGGACTTGGTTGGAGAGAGGGGACGAAATGGAGCGATTTAGTCGATTAGGGTTTGAAAATAACCCCCTTTGCGAAATGGTTTTTTTTTTAAAACCTGATCTGCGACATTTAGTCGACTAAATAATGGGCTTAGTCGACTAAAAGTGCAACGAACGTAGTCGATTAAGGTGAGTATTTAGTCGACTAAAATTCGCGTTTCATGATTTCTGAGTTTTGCCCATTTAGTCGATTAAAAGTGCAACTTAATCGACTAAATGAGGGCAGGATGGTGGATAGTTCTGGGGGAGGAACAAATTGATTATTAATTATTTAATGAGGGGCAAAAGGGTCAAAAAGCCCAATCAAATTGATGCACAACTAATTACACATTAATTTGGGCGCAAGTGTGAAATATTTGAAAAATACATAATTCTATAATTTAATTTTTAAATTGTAATTTTTTAGTTTTTTAACCCATAGTAATATTAGTAAGAATATTTAGACAGAGAAAAAAAAAAAGATGTTGGAGTGAAGTGCTGTTTTGAAACTCTTATTTTTAGTTTCTCTTCTCCTTAAAAGTATAAGCTTAATCAAACATAATTTTATAAAAAAATTATAATAAAGAAAAAAGCTAAAAGCCTCAAAGACAAGCTTTTTTTAAGATATAAATCAGGCTTTGGAATTTTCATATTTATTTTTTTAATTATATCCTTATTTTAAATTTTTATTTATGAATTTTATTATTTAATCTTATAATTTATGCTA